AGTGCAGACAGAAAGTAAGGCTCAATCAATGATATAGCCTTTTCTAGCAGCAGCAGCAGAGGTAGAAATAGGAATAGTTGTAAAAAATAGCCATCCTAAATGTGTATTACATCCTTGACTGTGACCTCATTAACATTAGATTTATATTTTTAAAAACTTAAATGTGAACACTGCCCTATCCTTTTGACTCCCTCACTCTTATTCCCAGGAGGCTCTCCTTGGACCACATTGAGGTCTCTAGTCCTCTTGCCATTTTCTTTTTCACCAGTCCATGAACTTCCTACAAGCCTCATTTTCCTGTCCTTCCTTTATTCCTCTAATCCATTGCTATGCTGAAGCCAGAGTGATTAATCTAAATTATGTCTTACCATGTTGCTGCTTTGGCAACTACACATGATCATGGGTTGACATTGGGTCTTAGGAGGAAGCATCAAACCCTGATGAAGATTGCTGATAATTAAACTGATTTGTCTTAGGAGGAAAAAAGAGAAATAGTGAATTGTATGTTTCTTTTTAGAGCCTTTAGAACAGATGCCAGTGTTTTGTTTTGTTTTTCATTTGGGTGTTAAGTGCTTGGTCAGATCAAGAAGAAACTGTTGGTAAAGCATTTAATGTAATGACATGAACCCAGCAGAAAACATCACATTGTAATTGATGATGATACCCAACAGTTGAATAATTAGTTGGTTTAATATTCTTGAACCACAGTATAGGTTAACTGAAAATCTTTTCCTCAAAATTAGGAGACTTTTGTGACATACTAGCTGTGTCATCTTAGATGATCTCTATTTTTCCTTGAGTCTGGATAATGCTTGATTTCTTTATACCATCTGAATGGCTGAGTCTTATAATAAATAAACATAAGCCCCATCATAAACAAATGTTTTTCCTTCCACAATCTGGCTTCAATACAATTGGAAAAGAGGGATAATATGAATTAATGTAATTAAATGGCCTACAAATAAAATTATAGTCTGTAGATGATGATGAAGATAGATGATGATGATGATGATGATGATGTTTGCTAATATTTATTGGCAATTTCTATATGTCAGTACTGGTTTTTAAATATTGTATACATTTGAACCTCTAATCCTGAGCCATGGAGAGGTTAAATTATTTACCCAGGGTCACACAACTAGGAACTGGTAGGATTTGAACCTGGGAAGATTTGAGTAGATGGGAGTGAGTATTGTTGTTCTTAACCCATCAGTGAACAAAGAGAGTTCTTTAATAAATTAATAAGAGGAGTGAAATTCACATATGTGCCAGTTTGAATATGGAAAAGCATCAGAACTGGGGTACAGAGAGGATGTTAGAGGTGCTAAGAAGGAGGTGGAGACGGCACTAAATTTTACTCTGCAGGTTAGTACCTGAATATGTGTGTTTGAATTAAGGATTCTACAAAGACTGGAAGTTGGGACAACCAACAACTTATGGGTCAAAGCAGTGAATTCTAAATGCCTAACAATATCTTTGGTGGGGGGTTGGGTGTGGGAATTGAAGTGGAGGAGTATATCACCATTTTAAATTCTGGGACAAGAGTTGGAAGGAAGGGAAAAATGGTTCCCACTAGACAATTGCATATGTACAATAAGACCGGGGAATGAGAAGTGAGGAATAAAGTTCATTTTTGAGTTAATAACTGATTCTTAGAGTTTCAGGGTCTTTAAGCCTCTTTGGATTAGGGATTCTTGGCAATTCCATATAACCCAAGATATTGGTATTCTAGGATTAGAACTCTAGGAATTTTAATGAAGTGCTGAGGGAGGGGAGCCACAAAAATCCCAAGGATTTGAAAGGTTAAGGTCTGGAGATGTTAAACTCGAATTCCCCTTACACTCCAAGTCATTCACAGTTTTAACCCCTAGGGCAGTGGAAATGGGCTTAGGGAGTGGAGGATGAGGTGGTGAAAAAGGGGAAAGCCACCTTGGCAGAAATTTTGGGCCTCTCTCTCTAGGCCAGTGATGGCGAACTTATGACACGCGAACTCATTTTTTGGTTGATTTTTCTTTGTTAAATGGCATTTAAATATATAAAATAAATATCAAAAACATAAATCTTTGTTTTACTATGGTTGCAAATATCAAAAAATTTCTATATGTGACACGGCACCAGAGTTAAGTTAGGGTTTTTCAAAATGCTGACACGCCGAGTTCGAAAGGTTCGCTATCACTGCTCTAGGCTTTAACTAGAACAGCTCCCATTTTATACAGAGGGTTTCTGCATATGATAAAGCTTTCCTCATTTGATAAAGGGATTCCAAACTTAAAAAGGCAGCTCTAGCCAGCTTGGCTCAGTGGATAGAGTGTCAGCCTGTGGATTCAAGGACCCCGGGTTCAATTCCGGTCAAGGGCATATGCCTGGGTTGCAGGCTCGATCCCCAGTAGGGGGCATGTAAGAGGCATCCAATTAATGACTCTCTCTCATCACTGATGTTTCTATCTCTCTCTCCCTCTCCTTTCCTGTCTGAAATCAATAAAAAAAAAGAACTCATAGTTTAGTGTATTTTCTTATAAGAGAAAAAGAAAAAGGCAAAACCACTTTAGTAAGAAAAAAAGGACATGGAACCTCTAAAAAGTATTCTAATAGTCCTTGTCCTTTTTAAATATAGTGATGGACGCTAACAATGTTTTGGCTGGGATAATGGGAAGAGCCTACTAACAACTCAGCAAGTGAGTCACACTTACTGTGAAACCAATAACAGCAGCAGCAGCAACAATGACAATGTTAGCAGTTACCATATTAAAGCACTAACTCTGATCTGGGAACATGGCTAAATGCTTACACAGACTGTGCCATGTAATTCTCTGTACTTCTAAGAGATAAATACTTTAATTTTGCAGATATCACTTTTTTTGCATCTGAAGGAATTGAACAAGTGGTCTACATATATAGGAATAAACCAAGTGAAGGCATTTTTAAATTTAATGCTGCATATATATTTGAGTAGTTGCTCAGGGCTTATACAGCTGAAATACCCACTAGGTTGAGGTGACCTGTTCCTTTACACTCAGGCAATTCTGAGTTTGGAAGGGCAAACCACGAACTGGCCTCTAAAATCAGGAAGGTCTGATATTATTTTTCCAAGAGGGAAGAGTTTTATGTAGACTTAAGTAAAAGAAGAAATGCTTTCTTCACATAAATGCAAGGTTTTGTTGCAATTGCATGTTTGCTTAAAAAGACTTTTATTATTTGGTTTATTCAACAAATACTTATTGAACACCAACTATGTGCTCTGAGCCCTAAATTTCAAACATATAAAATTGAAAGAGCAACTTGTTTAATATAATCCTCAAACCTAAGGAATTTCTGAAATTACCAAATCCTGGTTTAGAGGGGACCTATTGATTAAGTGTGATTTCTCACTCTAATTTCAATAGATACTTAAATACCCATGCAGAGTGACAAGAGCAGTACCGTTTATAGATGCTAGATCATGGAATTAAAGAATCTTAAAAATTAAGTAACCCATTTTTTTATATTTTGCAGGTCAGAGAGTCAGACAGGCTTAGAGTATAAACTCCATAACCTTGGACAGGTTTCTTAACCTCTATGATATTCAGATTCCTTATCTATAACATGGGAATAATAGCACTTGCCTTATAGAAATACGGTAAGGATTACATAAGACAATTTATATGAAATTTTTAGTGCAGTGTCTGACACATGCAACATGCTCAATATATCTTTTCTGTTATTGTGATTACTATTTTCCAAGTGAGGGGACTGAAACACAGAGAGGGGAAGTGACTAGTCTAAGGTCACACAGATTGTTAATGTTAGGACAAACATTAGAACTCAAATCTCTATTAGTACTCAAATATTCCTTAAACTACATCACCAAGTTTAATCCTTAGGAACAGGTAATGTAAACTTCCTAGGCCTGTGATAAATATTTTAGCTCATCCAGAGAGAAGAATGACAAGGAAATGGCTGACATAGCAAGAGAATTCCTGGACTCACAAAACAAAGCATCAAGGGATAAATAGAGAACAAATGAGAACAAATGAGAAACAACAATTACCAGAAAGTTTAGACAGCACTGTTAAAGCATTACTATTCCTGGTGAATCACAGAACTCCTCCTCCTCCTTCTCCTCCTCCTCCTCCTCCTCCTCCTCCTCCTCCTCCTCCTCCTCCTCCTCTTTTATTCACCACAAACATTTCCACAAAAATGACTAGGTTTTTGCTTTTCCTGGAGATGGGGGTGGGGAGGTGTTTCAGAATGCATAAGTGTTTCACAAAATTTTACCGTGAAGTCAGCTTTATTAGACAATTTCTATTTGCAAAGCAAAGTAGCCTTGTAATTCAAGTTATAATGGAAGCATGAGTATTACCAAGAGTTAAGAAATGATACATTTTTAAAAAGATAGTGGAGTGGAGTGTAACCTCATAGTAGAAGCTGTTGAGAAATATAGCAAAAAGAAAAAAAAAGGCTAAACAGTAAATCCTTATTGTTATTGGTTTGTGTAGCTATGGGTAAGTACAACACTGAGAATGATTTATTTGTTACATAAAGATATTAAGAATTAGAAATATATT